GTTCCCTGTGCTTTGCTAAGCTTGTTCTAAATAGGTGCTTTAGACCACTGAGCCATCTCTCCAGCCCTCTGCTTTATTTTTAGTCATTATTTGCTCTAGCCAATTATTTAGCCAGTTATGGAAAATAGGTTTATTGGCCAAATATCAGTGAAACATTTTATCAGTAATTTGTTTAATAGATAATGGTTTCAAGATAAATTTTTAAGATCCACAATGAGGTAGGTGTAGGGTAGAGATTGATTCACAAACATGGATATAAGTGTTTAGGGGAGCTTGAACTCTTCCCTTGGATTTTATTATTTATGAGCCTAATTAATTTAGCTGCCTATTAGTTAAGCATTTTATGGTTAGTGTGGCATATTTTAAGTGTTAATTTGACTTCTACGTTGAACTTCTTACAGGGATTAGAAAATGATTTTCATATGTTCTCAAGGCATAATCAGAAAGCAATATATATTTTTAAGTATAGTTGGTCTTCTGTATCCATAGGTTCTGTGGTCATAGATTCAACCAAACACTTTGGGGTACAAATTGTATTTACTGGGGCCAGGAAGATGGCTCAGTGGAATAAGCACTTCCCTGGCAAGCACAAGGGCCTGAATTCAATCCCTAGTTCCGCCCCCCTGCCAAAAAAAGTTGTATTTATTGAGTGACTGATTGTAGAATACTTGTACCACTTTGAGAGTAATATGCTGGAATCAATGTCCTGTTAATACAGAGGAACAACTGTATGTATAGGTTATGTACTATTGGATTTTGTGTATTTCTTCGGAATATATGTTGTGAAATGCAAAATGCTACCCCTCCACCCCTTTTAGTTTTCTAAGTGGATATGGCAGTTACATCCAGTTATTGTTATTATTATTTAAGTAGGTTGGCTTTGAAACATGACCCTTGCTGTGTGCTGTTGGTAGTATCTTACAGTACAGAGATGATATTACCTATAATTTTTTTTTTGTGTGTGGAACCAGGGATTGAACTCAGACCCTTGTGCTTGCCAGGCAAGCCCTTACTCTACAGAGCCATCTCCTCGGCCCCCCATTACCTATAATTTTAAGACTTCCAAGAACAATATTGGGGCTAGGAAAGAGAATGAATAGTTTGATAGCTCTATGATAGTAGTACTGATAATGGTGTGTAGTATATGCGGTGTATCTGTGATATTAAACTTTTATAAGGGTGTTTAGGGGAAAACTATCATAAAAATTTAACTCCTTGTGGGCAAGATTGACAGACATTGCCTTCAGGGAGCTCATAGCACGTTGGTTATTTTTCTGTTCATCCTATTTTTAAGTGCTTTTTCTGACCAGGCACCAGCTGTTTATTTGTCATGCAGGACAGTCTTAGCTCAGTTAAAATTAAAAGTAAAAATTGAAAAGACCATTCACATAGAACTTGGCAGTATTTGACTATTTCTTCTTGACAAAGTAGAAACCTCTGTTTTTCATTTGGTCAAGTTTTCAGTGCTCATTTTCTTTATATGTGACTGTGATGGACACTTTGCAGAATTTCAGAGTGCATATTCCTTTAAGTTGAAATGAAGCTGGATGTGTTCTGTTTGGGTTTTTTTTTTTTTTTTTTTTTGTTAATCTTTTGGTACCAGGTAATCAAACTCGGGACCAGGTGCTTGGCAGACAGGCACTTAAGCTACTGAGCTAACTTCCTGGCCTATTCTGTATTTTTTTTAGCATGAAAGATAGGTAAGATACAATGAAACTGAAAAGAAGTTACTGGTACTATTATGACTGAGTGCTTTGAATTTCATTTTTTAGTAGGTGTGGCAAATATATTCTGATTACTCAATATTTTTCCACTAGGTCCAAATGTATATACTGTTGGGGCTGAGTACAGGCTGTTGCCTTGGACTGGACTGAAGCCAATTAGTCCGCCAAGAGCTCACGCTCCAGCACCTGGTGGTCTCGCATCTTACTTCCCACCAACTGGAAGCAGCCCAACTGCCAGACGAAATGGCTGATTCTAAATATTGGTAGAAGGGCGTCAATGCAGAAAATGGGTGGTGATCAATGTAGAATTCATGTAAATACAAAAAATAGTAAGTGATTTTAATGTACCAGGTTAGTGTAGCTGCAATTAATGCTTGTAAATTATCTACTTGTGTAAATATTTTCAGTTTAAATTAAAAACATTGTAGTGTGTCAACCTGTTATTGTAAGTAAAAGTATAAATTTATTTAGCCTTGCTATTAATAAGTCTTGTATACTTTTTTACTGTCCCTCAGACTATATGTTGTTATTTGTCTTTACTGTTAGGATGGAGACACAGCTCCTGTTGAACAATGGTAGTTGGTGTACAGAACTGAATTACAGGAGAGTTTAATAAAGCGCCCACTACCCCTCTTGGGAAGGCTTAAGTATGTGGAATCACTTTTGGTTGCATCAGTCAGCTTCAGTGAACCTTTATAACAAAGCTTAGTCTTGTTATTTTTCATTTTTCTCACTGTCACTGCAATTTTGGTATATTCCTTCGTTTATTACTTCTGGTGTTAGTTTCTACCCATTGCTGCAAATGGTATTCTCTGACTTAACCTTCCTATCCTGAACTCCTTGTTAAGTAAGTCTTATACAATTGTGCCTTACAACAAATACAATTGAAATGCAAACATTCTCTTGTATAATTAGTAAATTGGATAGCTCAGTATTTATGCAGATTACCTAAAGATGACATTATGAATTTGAGGTCTGTTTGGGTAGGTGAATGAATGCTTTTTTTCCCCTTTTCTAAGTCATTTTTATTTATTTATTTATTTATTTATTTATTTATGTTTCTTTTTAAAAGTGTCTTATTTTGGCTGTTTTCTGAATAATAAAATAGTCATGCTCCCTCATTGATCTGTTTTCCATCATATAACAAGTGCTTTCTCTTGCCTGTTACCCTCATACTGGTCCGTAAAACCATCAGTTAATAAATTGTATACATTGAAGAGCCATGTGAATTATGTCTGAACAGTTAAGGTATCTTGAAATTATTTTACTTTCGTTGCAAATGTTTTACTTCATAAAAATAAAATGGTTCACATTGATTTGGTCTCCTTGTCTGAATTCTGTCTCCGCCAAGGGCTCAGTCACGCTCCTTAGCCGGCAGTGGGTGCCAGCGGCAGTCAGACACTGCTGGGGTTGTGCACGTACCCCACGACAGTGCGTTTGTCGTGTGTTTATTCCTTTCTTGTGATTTTCTTCTACACCCATTTTTATTTTCTTGTTGCTTATTTTTTATCATTTAGGCATGTAAGTGACATCACTAGATGGCTTTAATTCTGCTGGTGAAACTCAGTGGGAAAGGTTTACTAAATCTTTATGTGTACAATTTTTTAATTTACTTGGCTAGACATCTGAAAAGTCAGGTAAGCATTGGTTCTTCGTTGACTGAGGATATTATTGTGAGATACTAATTTGGATAGTTCTACCTGTATTTTGCTGTTTCTGAAGATCATTTGCTATTTTTAATCTCTTATGCTTAGCTCAGTTTTTCTGAAACTATTAACTTTTTCAGGATTGGGAGCAATAACAATACCATAGAAAATAATAGTTTTACTTTTTGTGGTTAAACACTGAAGACTTAGAATGACTCTAGTTTTTCTTTTTCGTGATATTCTTTAGTGAAATATTCCCCACCACCACCAAGGTTTGAACTCAGACCGTTGCACTTGCTAGGCAGGCGCTTATTCTACTGAGCTATCTCCTGGCCCCGTCAAATATTCTTTTACAGATTTTCTACTCACATGTGTTATTATATCTTAAAAATTTTACTACTAAGGAAAGTTTTAGTTAGAGTCACCATCCAAGAATATGTATTGAGACTGGGGAGATGGCTCAGTGGAGTAAGTGCTTCCCTGGCAAATGCAAGGGCCTGAGTTCAAACCCCGGTAAAAAAAAAAAAAAAAAAAATTCCTTCTGGGTCAGGGAGATGGCTCAGTGGAATAAACGCTTCCCTGGCAAGTGCAAGGGCCTGAGTTCAATCCCCAGTTCCAAAAAAAAGGAGACTTGGATTCTTCTTTGGGCCAGGGAGATAGCTGAGTAGAATAAGTGTTTGCCTGGCAAGCGCAGGGTCCTGAGTTCAATC